TCTCTCCTGCCCATTCCTGGGTTTACCTTAATGTGTCACCTTCTTCCTGTGGCCCCACCTCCTCCTGTTCCAGGCAGCTGCCCCTAGGTCATGGCCCCATTCACCATGTCTCCCCTCTCTGGTGTCTGCCATTTCTTCTGAGCCCTGAGCCCTGAGCCCTGGGAGGGAGGAAGAGTGAAGCTGGGATGAGTGCTGTCCAAGGTGCTACTCTCTCCGGACAGCTTGACAGTGAGAAACCTTGATGTGTGACCAAGGAGGCCGCTGTTGGAAAAAGCTGTTTCTCAGGGGTTCCTAAATCACACTGGGGGTGGATGGGGCTGGGCACTTAAGAGTGGGCCGTACCTACTCTGGAACCCTGCTCTGTGTTAGGAACCAACTCCTTCAACTCTGTTTCTGTCTGTAGCTGCTTCTCTGGTGTGATCCCTGAGCTGCTACTAGAGTCCTCCTCACAATGCCTGGTGGTCAGAGCTGTGTGTGGATACCTAATGGGGATTATTCATGTGCTCACACAGAGTATCCAGAGGACAGGCTTCCTGACCTCTCCTTCGTCAACCCCAAAACAAGATCTGGATCGTTGCCTGGGTCCGATAAAGTTAGAATCCATGGGGAGAGTGTGTATCCTGGCAGTGCTGAGGTCTGTGTCCCTGGCTTAACTCTCAGTCCCTTTGTGAATACATTTATATTGTGCATCTGCAGTTGGCTGTGCCGTCTTGTGTTCCTAAATCCTTGAATCTCTCTGTGGATAAGGCCATGAAGAAAGTGCATAAAAGTATAGGAGGGCTATCTGATCACGGCAAGTTTGTTTTACATAGTAGCGTTTTTTCATCAAAGGCTATTCAAAAAATTGTGGGAGAGGATATATATACACACTTAAACATTTATATATGTAAGCTGTAAATTTATATTTATACATTTAATACATGTTTATAAATATATCAATAAATGCCCGCCTATTTTACATAATGCACCATTTTAACCACTTTCGATTGTGCAATCAAATGGAATTAATTACATTCACCATGTTAAATAACCATCACCACTATTTTTTGTAGAAAATTCTCATCACTCCTAGCAGAAATTCTGTATCTTTTAAATAAATGATCCCTGTTCTTTCTACCCTAGACCTTGATGATCTCTAGTCTACTCTCTATCTCTGAATTTGTTTATTCTCAATGTTTCCTATGAATACAATCATACACATCTATGTCACTTTGTTTCTGGCACACTTCAGTGAGCATAATGTTTCTGAAGTTCACGCATGTTCCAGCAGGTGTCAGAGCTTCATTCCTCTTTATGGCTGATTAGCATTCTTTTGTATGTATCACAATGTTTTTGTTTCTATTCATGTGTTGATGGACACTTAAGTTGTTTCCACATTTTATCTATTGTGAATAATGCTGCAATCAGCATCCCCATTTGAGTACCTGTTTGAGTCCCTGGATTCATTTCTCTGTGTATATACCTGGGAATGTATGTTGGTTCCTATGAGAATTCTATGATTAGCTTCTTGAGGACCAGTAAAACTATTTCTCATAGTGGCCATTCCTTTTTATGTTCCCATCAGCGATGCGTGAGCATTTCAAATTCTACATAAGGCTTCCACTTGTTACTTAACATTTTTAAAAAATGACAGCCACAGTGGTGTGATGTGGTATCTCATAGTGGCTCTGACTTTGCATTTCCCTAATAACTAATGAGGTTGAGTGTCTTTTCATGCCCTTATAAACAATTTGTATATCTTCTTTGAAGAAATGTCTATTTGAGTCCTTTGCCCATTTATAATTGGGTGGTTTTTCATTTTTACATTGAGTTATGGCTATTCTTCATCTATTCTGGACATAAAACCCTTACATATGTGATTTGCAAATTATTTCTCCCATTCTGTGTCTGTTCTTTTTCTTGATAATTTGCCTTGATGCACAGAATTCTTACATCTTACAGTGTATCTATTTTTCTTTGCGTCTCATGCTTTTGTGTCATATCTAAGAATCCACTGCACATTTGAGGTCATCAAGATTTACCCGTATGTCTGTTTCTAAGATTTTGATTTTTGGTTGTAGCTCTTATATTTAACTCACGGATCTGGTTTTTGATAATTGCTTGATATGGTGGGAAGTAAAGTTTCCTAAGTTGATTGTTTTTAATGTGTTTATTGAGATTTTTCTGCAGCATTATTTGAAAAGATTATTCTTCATTCACTAAATTATCTTGACACCCTTGTCAAAGAGCAATTGACCATAAGTGTGAGGGTTTATTTCTGGACTTTGAACTTTACCCCACTGATCCCTATGTGTATTCCTACACCAGCAACACACTGTCTTCATAATCGTATTGTTTTAGACAATTTCAAATAAGAATGAAAGTTCTTAAACTTATCCTGGCAAGATTGTTTTGGCTATTCAAAGAGGCTTTTTTGAAAAGCAGTGGTTCACAAGTGGTGAAGCCTTTTCTGTTTCTTCCCAGGGAAGTGGAATTTGGTTGTATAGAGACCTTTTTAGGAACTTAATCTAAATAGATAAATAATCCCCACTTGCTTTGCTGAGGTGCTGTGTTACCGTGTGCATCGCCTCCTGGGAAAGAATTGAGAGACCCTGGAAGCACTTGCCCATGTGGGGAGGGACAGTGAGCTCCATTATGAGGGGCACAGAGGACATTGTTTTGGGACACAATGTTGTTGGGGGAGCCGTATGTATTTCTGCTTCTTTATTTTTTTGCACAGCTCTCATCTCTGTTGGACATAGTAGATATTAAAATCTTTGTTAATCCTCTGAGGTCTGGGTCTTAGCTGACCTGTCAGCTGGAGCCTGAGGAGGTGCCTGGCAGAGCAGTGACCCCCATGGGGAGGAAGATATCTCAGCAGGGTAAAAGCACCTGGGACCCAGAGAAACCAGGAAGGTCTGACCCTTAGAAGCTAGGGTGCAGCATGTGGGTGTCCTCGGAAGCAAATGGACCACTCTGGTACCCATTGCAGTAGATTGGAACAAGATGAGAGGCCTTGGGTATCCCACGTCCTCTCTCAGCTCCCCAGCTAAAGATTTGGGCCCTGGGCTGGTGCTGTTTTATAGCAGGGACAAGGTAGACAAGAATGGCTGCATATCAGCCTGAGTCGGTGTCAACTTTTCAGGCGTTGTCACTGCAGAGGGAGAATTTTGTTCAGAGGCCCAGCCTGGGAACATGGGAGGGACCACCCCATTCTTTTAAAATTATTTTTAGAATAACAGTATCGGTAAATGTCATGCATGTTTTATTCTTCTAGAATCATCACTAATGTCATATTGTACAATGCACTCTTAGGTGAATGGTGAGAAGCATCTACACAGTGTACATTTTCAGGTGACTCTGCTATAACTTCAGCTTTCATATGTTCCTCTAAAAGCCATCTTCTCTCCAAACACACAAGCAATATCTCTGTGTTCATCTCTACCATGTTGAAAGAAAAGCTTTGGCCACATTAAATTTAAAGGAGTTTAATTGAGCAATGAATGACCCACGAATCAGGCAGCCCCCGAATCACAGCAGATTCAGTGACTAGAAGGGCCTCATGGTCAGAACAAATTTATAGACAAAGAAAGTAAAGTGATGTGCAGAAACAGCTGGATTAGTTACAGCTCAGTGTTTGCCTTATCTGAAGACAGTTTGGACAATCAGCAGTGTATAACTGCTTGAAGTATGGCTGCTGAGATTGGCCGGGAGTTAGCCATTGCTACAGGTGCATACACCTAAGTAGGTGTTTAGTCCTGTCTGTCTATTAAATTAGGTTGAGTTCATCTGCAGGAACTCCCATAGAGAAGTACAGAGTCCTTCTCGGGCCATATTTAGTTTGCTTTAACAATTCATCCCATTGGGTCATTTTCTCCATTTTGAGAGATTGACCCCAACTTTAGTCCTTGATATCACTGTCACCATCATAAATGTACTTAATTGGTCTTGAATCCCACTGGGAAAACAGTAGAACAGTGAGTTTTGAAAGGTAGGAAGAAGGGCTAAGTAGAAGGTGCCTCCCTAAGCTGGAACGTTCTGTTTACAGGAGAAAAACCAAAACCTGGTCTGTTCTGGTCTAACATCCATGTGTTTCTTTAAAGGCTAACTTTGATGATGTGGCGTTTAGCGTGAGCAACTCCATCTTGTCAGGTTTGCTCTATCAGGGTTTAGTGCATGAGCTCAGTCCAATACAATGGCCTCCCGTCTTTTTGTTTTTACATGTTCTCCTTTTGGGTCAGGTTCTCACTTAGGCGAGAGTGTGACCTAAACGTACGGTCTGAGGCCCACTCTCAGTTACCATCACTTTGGGTTTCTGGTCTCAACGTATCGTTCGTAGGTTTTGGTGTCCTTGTGATATATAGCTAACTTAAGTTGGAACCTGTATACTGCCATCTTATAAAAGACAAAAATGTTTCCATTCTCCTCAAGGATTGCTAACCTTGGTTTCTGTAAATTGCTAGATCATTTGCAGGATGCAAAGAGAGGTAAAGCTGCATACCTTCTCTTATCTGCCAGAATTGCTGGCCTTTGTTTCCCAGAGTAAGCACCCGCAGATCATTCCATCCTGGCGCCAAGCAACTGAAAATCTATGGATCCCACCCATACCCAGACGATGTGTAAATGAATGCTGATCTTAGCATCTCTGAACCCTTAAATAACAATCAGAATGTCAAATAGTCCCCCGGCCCTCGAAATGTCCGGAACCCCCTCACCCTCCTCTCTGCCCAGAAGGTGATTTGAATCCACTGGCCCTCGGAATTTCTGAAGCCCCTCACCCTCGTCTTAGCCTGGGAGGTGATTGACAGCTTTCATTCCCATCTCCACCCCCACTCCCAAGGTGGTTTTGTGGGTATAAAAAGGTCTTGTCTCTCTTCTTTCAGGGCCACGGGTTGGAGAGACGTGAGTCCTCCGTGGTCGCCGGCAATAAACCCTGTAATTTGGCATTCTTTTGTTCTGGTGTTGACTTTCTGTGCTGAGTGCGATACAACACCCTCATGATTGCACGTTCCTTTCAGCTTGTGTCCTTCTGGTTGAAGAGGAACCATCTGACATTCTAGAGATGACTGCGTGCAAACGCTTAACAGCTTTGAGAATATACAGTGCACCAGGGAGACTATTACTGCCACCGTCAGGAGGATAATACCAAGAGTTTAGAGTCTACTTTTTGTCCAGGGTCCCCATAAACCAAATCACTTAAAATTAAAGACGTCAAAGAACCGGCTAGGTAAAGAGCTTACTCACTTAACTAAGCAACCTTTTTATTAATCTTCTACAACCAAATCTCCGTAATACCTGATGTTTTCTCCAGAGGCCACAAGTGCCAGCAGCTGCACAGATACTTTTCTGTTTATCCAATTCCCTTATTTAGCATAACTTTCACTGAGAATTTAACCTCCTGTGTAACCATAGCCTTTACAGTAGTAGAATCTGCTATAGAGCCTATTATGAAAGACACATTTCTAATCATTGCTTAATTTATTTCAAACCACATAAAAAGGTCATAACAAATAATGCCCTTCCATTATAGAAAAGCGAAGGCCTCCTGGCAATGTTTCAAACTCATAATGTAGGTTAAGAGGAGTGAATTAATGTTCTGAATCTGACTGGGCATGAGGCAATGTACATACCATTAAAGTTTCTCACCTACATTGGGCCTTCATGTTTTACCTATCAAAACATCAGGCTATCTATGTATAAGGCTGGCTGCAAAATCCTTCACAAATAAAGTGTACACCATTAAGTGCACACAACAGATGTGTTTTTCATTTCTGTTGTTCATAGAGGCCCCAAAAAGAAAAAAACATTCAAAGATAACAGTCTCGTGATGGTAGAAGTCTTGATCCATGATCTTGGAAACACTTTTCACATCAAGGATGCCAGCTTCTTCTGGGGAGACTTCCCTGGTTAGATTTACCTTAAGGGTTCCAATGGGTGTGCATTTCCAAGCATGTGGAGGGGCCCTTCACAGTTGTCATGTTATGAACCCAAAGTTCAAGGTTCCAACGTTTTGCTACAATCTGGATGGCAAGGACAGTCTTTCTCTGATGTTCTTAGAAGATCCAATTCTTAGGTTATTTAGTGAACCATAGAAAACTATCTTTACCTGGTGAAAATACAATGTAACGTACTAACTTAGTGTAGAACATCAGCCCCCTTGCGTGGGAGAACTTTTATACAACCAGAGTGAGAAAACATGCATTGAAAATAACAATTGAATGAAATCTCATTTTAAAATGTTTAAATGGAGCACCAGGTGACCAGGAGTATCTGAAGCTTTGATTGTTTTCTCAGAAATATGGGGCCAATCATTGGTTATAAACTCTTTAAGCAATTTATGTCACCACACCAATATAGTCCATTTAATATTTTTCATTTCCATCGTGAGTTATGGAATTCCGAGTTTGTAATGATGAAAGCTTTAAGGACTTAGGAAGGACAAGGTGGCCATCCTGGTTCTCCATGAGTCCATGCCTAGTTCATATTAGACTTATATCCTCTTGAATCCTAGTCTTTCTTCAAATTCTGTGCATAGCACTGATAACTGATGGGTTATCGTAGGTAATTTGACTTAGACCATGGAGTTCATTCAAATTGTATATCTGATTTTAGTATTAGCTGATGTAGCATGAGTGCTGATTGGTAAGGTAGGAGATGAATCATAGGAAGTTGAAGCTGTCCTTTTGTGCTGAGTCGGCTCCTCAGTGAAGGGTCACAAGATCAGATGACCCAGTTTATCAATCTGGGTGGTGCCAGCCGATCCATCAGGTGGCGGATCCACAACATATCTCAAACACTGATGTTACGAGCAGTTTAGGCAGGGTCAGAATCTTGTAGCCTCGAACTGCATGACTCTTAAACCATAATTTCTAATCTTGTGGCTAATTTGTTAGTCCTACAAAGGCAGTCTAGTCCCCAGACAAGAAGGAGGTTTGTTTTGGGAAAGGGCTGTTATCGTCTTTGTCTTAAACTATACAAAACAAATGTGTGTTGTGGGTGAAGTTTTTGAAAGTTACCTGTGTTAGCATGTATGTTTATTGCAGCACTGTTCACAACAGCAAACACTTGAAACCAACCCAAATGGTAGACTGGATAAGGAACAGGTGGCACATATACACCATGGAATACTATGTAGCCATAAAAATGGTTGAGTTCATGTCCTTTGCAGGGACATGGATGAAACTGGAAACCATAATTCTCAACAAACTGACACAAGAACGGAAAATGAAACACCACCTGTTCTTACTCATAAGTGGGTGTTGAAGAATGAGAACACATGGACACAGGGAAGGGAACATCACACACTGGGGCCTGGTGGGTGGGGAGCTAGGGGAGGAATAGCAGGAGGTGGGGGGATGGGGAGGCATAGCATTAGGAGATAATACCTAATGTAGATGACAGGGCAATGGATGCAGCAAACCACCACCATGGCATGTGTATACCTGTGTAACAAACCTGCATGATCTGCACATGTACCCCAGAACTTAAAGTATAATGAATACATTTTAAAAAAGAAGGTTACTTGTGTTAGGCAGAACAATGGCCTCCAAAAAGTGTCCACATTCTAACCCCTGACACATGCATCTACCTTTGTTGGTGAAAAGACTTTGCAGTGGTAATGAAGTTAAGTATCTTGAGGTTATTCTGGATAATCTGGGGTGGCCCAGTGAAATCAGAAGGGTCCTTGTAAGTAAAAGTGAGAGGCAGGAGGGTCAGACTGAGAAACGTGCAGCCTGAGAGATTCCACTGGCCCTCACTGGCTGTGAACATGCATCATAAAACAAAGTTCCAAGTAATTTAATTATACATCGAATTGACTTTTATTTGTGAGGCATTGTTTCAGGCAGCTCCCCCTGGGCAATACAATACCAGGACGGTGGGTGAATTTCTAATGACAGCATTATCCTGCCAAGTGAAGGAGGCATAAGCAAGAACAAATTAAGAGGGGTGAAAGTTTCATCGTGAAGAGGAGTCTTGTTCTGACGTCTTTGAAAAAGCTGTCCACAGTGTGAAGTTGTCAACTCTCGTCCTGGTCTGCAGTGTCAGGGTCTCTCGTCATGGTGCGTCGAACATTTCAGTGAAGTCTCTAAGCGGCTCACACCTCAGGCACGAGGGTTATCTCTTGAAATTTACATTGAGTTGTCCACCTCCAGCTTATAGGGCTTCAGGAACAGAGCAGCTCTTGTTCTTAGTAATTCCATGGGAGAGCACTGGTTTCGAGTAGCTAGAAGAATCCACGGTCCAGTTCAGTCTACAGGTGGATAATAAAAACTGAATGAGCAGAGCTGCAATCTCATCACAGGTGCACTATAGTCTTTCTTTTCAACATATTTTTTTCTCTCTATAGGAGTCTCTGTTTTAACCAAAGATAATTCCCAGTAGGACAAATTTGTTTGGAAAGTAAGTTGAGTCTCATCAAACTTGGCCTGATTCTTCAAATAAGTGCAGCAAGAGTAGCGATGAACCATGGAGGCTCTTTTTAAAGTTTGCTTTGCCAGTAGTTTTTATAAGGAATCTCACATTAAACTTAAAAAAAAACAAAAACCTTTTGAGATGTAAAAGAAAACCAAGGCTGACTTCAGAATTTGCCTGCAGTGCCTGTGGATTCATTCTGTGTATATTCTCCCATATAACATCCCAGCCAAAACCTTGGTAATATAACCAGTTGTTTCAAATGTGTCCTGTTATAGAAAGGGCAGATGCTTACTGAACTTGTGCGAATAACTGTATTACCATAAACGTATAAACACTCATGAATAGTTCCCCATTTCTGGGACAGTCAGGTAAGGAGCAAAAGTAAATATTTCTATTTTTGTTCACAAAAGTGTACTTTACCGAATGGATGTAAGCTATAGATTGCTTAAAAGAGAAAAAAGTCATAAATCTGGAAAACAAAACATTTAAAGAATCAGCAAATTTCCAAATAAAAAATTGTAAAAGTATTATTCTCATTATTATTATTTAGTCCAATGAAATTGATTTTTTTCCTGCTTATTCTTGGTCATCAATTTCATGTAATAATGAGCCTGTTGATGAAAATTCTAAAAGTTCTTAGAATGTCCAGAAGTCTGGTCTTAAACTTATCAGAAACTTATATTCAAGAGTACTTGTCAGAGTTTTTCTTTTTGAAGAAGAAACAACTTTCGACTGTAGCTGATTGCAAATGCTTTGAGAAAAAGTCAAAACAGCTGTCTGTGAATGACCAAAGTTGAAAATGACTATGGTTAGAAACCTGATTAGAGTTCATTATGGTAAAGACATGGCTCGCACAGGAACTTGCGTGGCATATGACATTATGACTGATAATCGATTTCTATGACTCATAATTTTGGAACACTCAGTAACACACCCATAGATATAAACTAGAGACCGTTTAGCATCGCGTACTACTTGTCATTTGACAATGCTTTCCATATAATTTAACATATGGGATGAGGTGGCTTTCCCATTCAGCTTCTGTTTCTCAAAGGCATTACTTAGTTTCTGTGTAGCCCGTTAATGAATAGGGCCAACAAAGTGTAGGTTTATGTATGTTGAAAGTTCCCTAGGTAATTCCAACACTCTTGGCTAAAAATCACTGACTGAGGTCTAAATTCTACCTATTGGAACAGGGGTTCTCTATTCTAGTTACATGTTAGTAGCATCTCAGAAGACAAAAATTCCCAATGCCTGGGTCCCACTCTAAATCCGTTTGATTTAATGGTCATTCAATCACAATTTATGGATGGGGCTAGAGCATCCACTTCTAAAAATGTTTCCCCGTTATTCCCAATGTGTAGCTGTATTTCAGAATTCTTTCTTTCTTTTTTTTTTTGAAACAGAGTCTTGCTTGCTCTGTTGCCCCTGCTGGAGTGCAGTGGCACCATCTCAGTTCACTGCAACCTCTGCCTCCTGGGCTCACACGGTTCTCCTGCCTCAGCCCCTTGAGTAGCTTTGGCACCCAGCACCACACCCAGCTAATTTTTATATTTTTAGTAGAAATGGGGTTTCACCATGTTGCCCAGGCTGGTCTTGAACATCTGACACCAGATGATCTGCCTGCCTCACCCTCCCAAAGTGCTGGGATTTCAGGTGTGAGCCACCACGCCTGGCCTCATTTCTTTGTATTATGGTATTATGATTATTTTCAGGTCTTATCTCCTGTCTTAGGCTTTATGTTTCCTGGGGTAGGGACCTTGCCTTCTTCATTTCTGTATCTTTCATAAACACATGAATTGGTCATCAGGGGAAAATGTCTCCATCACATGTAAGTTGTGTCCTGAATCTCGGGTTCACACATTAATGGTAGAATCTTTGTTCTCCTTGAGGTCAGAGGTTACTTGTGATGAGGGTGTGAGTAAACCTGAAGGGCAGATGGTGGAGCGGGGATCACTCTGATTCTAGGCATAGCACTGAAACTAAGAATTCTATGTATCTGTGGGCTGGAGGGGCAGGGATGTGTAGGAAGACAGTTCTAATTAGGATGGAAAACTTATACTAGGGAATAAAGGTAAAGGAAGTGAGAAGGATTCGTAAAAAGAAGAAAAGTGAACATATCAAATAGGCTAGAGTAGAACCCTGAGGAATCTGGATTAGGTGAATGAACTAGATTTCAGGAAGGTAATGAGGCAATCATATGCAAGGAAGATTTCAAAGACTGGAGACAAGAAGTCCATCAGTACTTCAAGCAACTGTGGAGGTTTATGGAAGGGGAGAGAATGACACAAGCGAGAGATGTTTGAAAAGGACCAAGAGGGTGTTACAAAGTATTGAATCTGGGAAACAAATGAGAAGAGGCCGGGGGTAATTATGTCTAAGAGAAACTGGGGCTACAGAGAGCATGGACACCAAGGAGGAAGAGACCTGCAGGAATTAGTGCTGAGAAACAGGTTAGTGGGAGGAGGAGATCAGTCCCAGATAGAGGCAAAGGAGTTCTTTCCCTCTCCCAAGCATGGCGGTCAGTCCTGTAGGAAACAGGACAAGAGGGAAGGCCATCGGATCTGCCAGTCTTTCTGAAATACAGAAACTAAACCAGGGCTGCTGTATCAGAACTGCCCTGGCCAGCACTCCAATCATAATGCCAACAGTGGCCCAGCTGAGAAGCCAAGAGAACATTCTGAAGCATCTGTCATGGAAAGAAAAGAAGAAGGCTGGACGCAGTGGCTCACACCTGTAATCCCAGAACTTTGAGAGGCCGAGGCAGGTGGATCACGAGGCCAGGAGTTCAAGACCAAGGTCATTGCATTTTTCTACACCATTAGAATATTTCACCTTTTTGTGGTTGCACCTTTTTCTCATGTCTCAGTTATGGCCTGGCCAAGATGGTGAAAGCCCATCTCTACTAAAAATACAAAAATTAGCTGGGCGTGGTGGCACGCACCTGTAGTCCCAGCTACTCAGGAGGCTGAGTCAGGGGAATGGCTTGAACCTGGGAGATGAAAGTTGCAGTGAGCCAAGATCACACCACTGCACTGCAGCCTAGGTGACAGAGCAAGACTCCATCTCAACAACAACAACAACGAAAAAAAGAAAAATATGAAGGTGATGTTATTTTACAGTCGGGTGCCCCAGGAACCAGCATGCAGCATGCAAGAGTCTCTAATTGTTCCTTCAAAGAATACATAATTCTTGTGGAAAGGTTGCTGGGCGACGATTAGCCAACTATATTCCTGCAGTTTCAGTTTTTAAAAATTCCTCTCACCATGTTTCTAGATTGGCAGTGAGTCTCCTGTCAACTCCGTACTGGCCATGCTGTACTCAGATATTTTTGAAGGCTTTGGGACATCAGGAAGAGTAATTGCTTTTTTCTACACCATTAGAATATTTCTCCTTTTTGTGGTTGCATCTTTATGGTACAGTACTTATACTATACGTATACAATATATAGTATACAGTATATATATATATATATATATATGTACAGAGACATATATATAGGCTTACAGACATATATGTTTATATATATAAATTTATATATACTTATATATATATTATATACTTTATATAGACTATGTATATATAAAGTCTCTCTCTCTCTCTCTCTCTCTCTCTAGAGATGTATCTCTTTCCTGCGACACACAGTCCCCATGGGTGAATCTCCGTATGTCTCCAAGTGTACATCACTCACTGTCCTCTGCTGTGTCCCATGTGCTGTGCCCACAGCCTCATACAGCCACTGACGTCAGAGCCAGGACACAGCTCAGGAGTCTTCCCTGAGGCTTCCTCTCTGCTTATTTCCCTGCAGCCTGACCCAGGGGACACTTGGCTTCAACTGGCAACTCGACTTAGCCACATTCAGAACAGGCCACCAGGGCTCTTTCTCCACACACACTGGTCCCACCCCAGGTGCAGTCAGACAGGGCCAGTCACAGAGGAGCCTGGAGCAGAGCAGGGAGCAGAGTCTGAGCTGCTCCTCCCTCATCTAAGGGGCTTCCTCCTCTCATGTGGGGGAAAAGTATGAGCTTGTTTCAAAGCTTCAGATGTTTCTTTGTAAAAGAAAACAAAGACGTGACAGAAAGGGATGTGTTGGTGACAGCGAGAAGCAACTGATCTCGAGGATGCTCCTTCTTGTCCCTCTGTGAAGCCTCTTCCACCACATAGGGCTCAGGGCTGACAAGCCCCCTCCCTACTTTGCTCAGGCTGGACACAAGGTCGGTCATGAGAAATAAGGAAAACGGTGTCTGTAGAGACAAATTGGGCGGGTTCAGGAGGAGAATTTCAAATTTGCCTGTGCCTACAGGACACAGGCTGGGAATAAACATGTTTTCCTGACTTTCTCTGAAAGCCAGATAGACTCCATCTAAAAACCTATTGCCAATGATGCTGGGACTCACCAACCACTTTGATCTTCTTGAATGCAAAGTGTCTCTTGCCAGTGGCGGAGTTATGAGCAAAACAAACATAGAGCCCACTATTCTTCGTAGTGATATGGGAGACATGGACCTCTTGTCCTGATGGCAGAAATGTCCCATTAACCATCCAAAGATACTGTGCTGGTGGTTTAGAGTCTGCAAAGCAGGAGAGGTGGAGGTTTCCTCCTCGACGGTAAAGGGTATCTGAAGGAGTAATGATGGTGGCGTCTGGACCATCTGGAGCAAAAGAATAAAGCCACAGGTAATGTCCTGCGAGGGAAGGGGATGGTCCTGGCCAGTTAAAGGGATACAGTGTCCCTCTGAGCCAAGACACACCCCGAAGTCCCAGCCAAACCTCCTCTGTGTTCACTGAGCCGAAGCCTGAAGTATTCACCTGTTTGTCCCATCACAAGCTGTGGACCCAAGTCTCCCATGACAAGAGCATCCCTCCCCCTATATTCTTGGTCAAGACTGTGCCCACCCAGGTTTTCACAGGGCAGGAAGTCATGGCCAGCTCGGGTGTCCAGAAGTAAAGGTGTCGTACTTGAACCTGAGAGAAACTGAGAGGCCTGGCCTCTGGATGTTTGGATTTGAGCTGGTGGCCTGGCCCACAGAGGAACAAAAGATACTTACAGAGGACAGTTAGGGTGACTGGGTCACTGTGGATGGGATCCATTGAGGTCCGTACTTCACATTGATAGGATCCTGTGTCATTTCTTGTGACACTGTGTATAGTGAGCGTCCTGTAATCATGAGACAGCTGTATCCTGGGACTGATCTGGAGGCTCTGACCATTTACCAACCAGTGGTAGGTGGAGTTTTCACTTTCAAGTTCACATGTTAAGGTTACATCATCCTCATGTTCCACGGCGGTGAATTTGTTGCCGGCGATGGAGACTTTGGGCAGCTGCGCTGTGGAGATAACAGAGAGAAGATTGCCCTGTCTGGCATCCTTGATTCCTCCACAGGCATCTTTCAATCAGAGTTGCATCTCCCACCTCTCAGCCCACCCAAGTCCTTGAAAGCCAATGGCTGGAATGTGTGTCACAAGACAGATGTACGATGATCCAAGGGCTCCAGGACAGTGAGGCCACCTGCTCTGTCTTAGGGAAGCACAGGCTTTCTCACGTGTGGATTGAGCAGCAGTGTTGGGTCATGAACAGACATGTGAGTGGGAGTCACAGCCCCTGGTACCCCTCCCAGTCCTTCCCTACTCAGCTGACTGGCTGGCCCACCTTGGGTTCCTTACCTGGAATGTGCGACTGCTGGGTCCCTTCCAAATTCCATCCTACTTTGCCCCCTTAGATGTGTTTTCTCTACAGCTTCCCTTTCCAAGTACATTCTAGAGATAAGTAATAATGGGAGTTCCCACTGTTCTGAAACCCTGAAGGACGTCCTAGGACTGGATGTTTCAGCAGAAATAACCCAGGGGAGACCAGAGTCAAGCCTGGAGGTCAGTTCAGCCATCAGACAGTGGAGGCACAAGGGGGGGCAGTTTTCCCGAGATGTTTCATAGTGACTGACTTGAGCCAGTGACCTCTAAAGATAGAGCAGAGTCCAAGGAATGACCTAGAAAGAGTGAAGGGGACAGGCGAGAGCTGGTGACTTCGGAGCAGAACCATGTTTCCTGTCCTGGGTTGCTGAAGTTTCCTCTCCTTCTGCAGAGGGCAGGTGAGGACCATGGAAATCCTTCTAGCAGTACATGTGGACATTTGCAAATGCAGGGCTGACTGGTGGAAATGGGGAGCATGAACTTCTGGAAATCTGGTCCTCACGGACCATGTGTGTTTCATGGATATGAGACAGAAATTTGGGAAGAAGTTTTGCAAATATTTTCTTTCATTGGACATTCTGCTCTCTGATTCTATGGGTTTGACTACTCTAGGGACCTCATGTAAGTGGATTTCAGAGTGAATCAGAGGAGAGACTGCTGGTTGCCAGAAGCTGGTAGTGGGGAGAATAAGGAGTTGTTCATGGGGGTACAGTTTCAGTTATGGGAGATGGGGAGGTTCTAGAGATCTGCTGTACAGCTTGATGCCTATAGTTTACACAGATTGAGTATTTGTTATGCATAAGACTTAGGATACAAGGGGTTTTGTATTTCTGACATTTTTTGATTCTGAAATATTTGCCATACACTTACTGGTTTGCATCCCAAATCTGAAAGATTCAAGATCCACAGTGCTCCAGTGAGCATTTCTTTTCAGCATCAGATTAGTAGGCAAATGTGGGAGGTGATGTGCCAAATATATTCTTGCCTTTTTTTTTTTTCCCTCACCACATTTCCAGCTTGGTGATTAGTGTTTGGTGAATTCCATGCTGACCATGCTGCGCTCGTGTATTTTTGAAAGCTTTGGGATGTGAGAAGGGTGATGGTTATTTTCTGTGTCATCAGAACTTTCCACCTTACCCTGGTTGCTTCTTTCTCTGTGTCTTTGTTGTGGCAGTCATTAGTAAGAGCCTGTCAGGTCAGACTTAGGACAGATTTTTCTAATTCTGCAGAAAATGTTACTGGGATTCTGGTCGAGGGTGGGTTGAGGCTACAGCTCACTGTGGGTAGTACTGTCTTCCTAACAGTATTGAGTCTTCAAGTCCATACAAATGAAATGTCTTTCCATTTATTGATGTCATCTTTCATTTCTTTCAGCAATGTTTTGTAGTTCTCAGAGTAGAATCCTTTGACCTTTCTGGTTAAAGTTATTTCACAATATTTTATTGTTTTTGATGTTAATGTCAATTGAAATTCTTAATTTCCTTTCACATTGTTCATTGTTAGTGTATACTCTAAATACTCATCTAGAAAGAGTGAAGTGGATGGACAAAACTGGTGGCTTTGGAGTAGAAACATTCCCTGTCATGGGTTTTTGATGTCCCCTCTCCCTTTGCAGAGGGCAGGTGGGTCTTTCCTGGTATCCAGATAGACCTCACTGGGAGACACTGCCAGTGCTCTAGGGATCCACTTACCAGGGTCTATGACCCTCTTGATTATGAGATTTGTTCCGCCAGTGTCTGCGTTATGGGTGACACAGTTATAGACCCCTCTGTATGTTTTAGTGATTTTGGGGATAAAGAACACTTGTGCTGATTTCTGGAACTTCCCATCAATCAGCCAAGCATGTTCTTCCAGCGGGTGAGAGTCTGTGAGGCAGGAGACCTCGGGGATTTCCCCTGAATGGTGATAGCTGTATGAAGAAGAAATGGTAGGGGCATCCAGGCCATCTGGAGTTGAGAGAATACAGCCACAGGTGATACTGTCAGGGGGAAGGGGAAGCTCCTGGTCTGTGGAAGGGCCACAGTGACCCTGTGAACCAAACACAACACGGAAGTCCCAGGCAAGCCCCTGCTGTGTTCACTGATCTGGAGCCCGAGACACTCACGTGTTGCTTTCATCACAGGCTGTGGACCTGAGCCTCCCGTGACAGGAGCAGCCCCTTCCTTCCCATTGTTGATTAAGGCCAAGCCTACTCTGGTTTGCCCAGGGCAGAAAATCATGGCCAGCTTCGATGTCCAGGGGTAAAGGTCTCTGTACTTGGAGCTGAGAGGCCTGGCCCCTGCATGTGTATCTGGGATGGAAGCCTGGGCCCACAGAGGAACAGAAGATACTCACGAAGGACTTTCAGGATGACTGGATCACTGCGGCTGGCACTCACTGGGTTCTTCACTTCACATTCATAGTGTCCTGCATCTTTCTCCGTGACACTGAATAGAATGAGGGTTCTGTTGTCATTGGACAGCTGCAGCCTGCTACTGCTTGGGGGGCTCTCACCATTTATCCACCACAGGTAGTTTGCGACCTTAATCTCAGGTTCACAGGTTAAGGTCACAGTGTCAGCCTTCCTGGGTTTTGAGTTGCTGCTGGTGATGGAGGGCTTGGGAGTCTCCACTGTGCAGATAACAGAGAGAAGATTACCCTGTGTGGCACCTTTGATTCCTCCAAAGGCATTTTTCAGTGAGAGTTGGCATCTCCCACCTCTCAGCCTACTGAAGTCCTTAAAAGCCCATGGCAGGTGTATGTGTGTTATAAGACAGATGCATGGCAATCTGAGGGCTCAGAGATAGTGAGGCTGCTGCTTTATGTGGGAGAAGTACAGACTTTCTCAAGTGTGAATGGAGCAGAGTGTTGGGTCATGGAAAGACACAGGACCAAGAGTCACAGCTCCTGGTGCCTCTCTGAGTCCTTCCCTCTCCAGCTGCCTGCCTGGCCCACCTTGTGGTCCTCACCTGGAACATGTAGCTGCTGGAATCTTTTCAGTTTCAGTTTTACTTTCCCCCCCGGTATGTTTTCTCTGCAGCTTCCCTTTCCAAGGACATCCTAGAGATGGGTGATGATGGAACTTACCACTGTCCTTTGGATGCCCTTTGGGTACTGGGCAGCCTGGCCTGGGACTGGGTACTTCAGCAGAAGTAACACAGGGGAGGCCAGGGGCAAGCCTGGAGGTCAGTTCAGCCATCAGGCAGTGGAGGCACAAGGTGGGGCAGTTTCCCCAGGTGTTTGGTAGTGACTGACTTGAGCCAGTGACTCTAAAGATAGAGCAGAGTCCAAGGAATGATCTAGAAAGAGTGAAGGGGACAGGCAAGAGCTGGTAGATTTGGAGCAAGACTATGTACCCTGTTCTGGGTCCATGATGTTCTCTTTCCCCCTGTAGAGGGAAGGTGAGGACCCTGTGGATCTTTCTAGAAATACATGTGGATGTTTGCAAATGCAGAACTGACTGGTGAAAGGGGGAGCGTGTAGTGCCGGAAAGCTGGACTTCATGGATCATATGTGTTTGACGGACATGAGACCAAAATTTGGGAAGAAGTCTTGCAGATACTTTGTCTCATTAGACATTCTACTCTGTGATTCCATGATTTTGACTACTCTATGGACCTCATGTCAGTGGATTTCAGAGTGAGGCAGAGAAGAGAATGGTAGTTGCCAGGAGCTGGGGTCAGGGGAATAGGGCATGTTCCATGGGTGTGCAGTTTCAGTTATGCAGGATGAGGAGGTTTTAGAGATCTGCTGTACAGCTTCATGCCTATAGTTTATACGAATAAAACATTCCTTATGCAGAAAGCCTAAAACCAGAAGTGTTTTGGATTTCTAACTTGGTTTGATTTTGTAATGTCTGCAGTGTACTTAATGGTTTAGCATCCAAAATCTGAAAACGGTTAAATCCAAAATGCTCTGGTGAGCACTTCTTTTTCGCATCACAGAAGTGGTCGGAAGTGTTGGATTTGGGGGCATTTCAGATTTTGGATGCTCAATTTGTAGTACTGTAAAAAGTTGTCATGAGTTCAGACCTCATGTTATGTTCTGACTCTAGTAACAAAAAATATTTGGTGGCAACATGAAAATGTTTTCATCAGTGGGAATTTTTACTGATGGTCCAAACATCTAAGATCAATTGCTGGCAGTGGTATTTCTCTTGATACCAAAATAAGGTTTAGGAGTGTTGTAAATTCCAGCAGGATCACACTATGCTCAATGGAAGAAGCTGAAGGTGATTTGAAATGAGCCACTCCCTAAGTAGAGAGTCCCAGTGAAAGGACAGAACTGGTGAGAGAGAGAGTCTTAGGTGTGTCAGTTACATAAAGGGAGGAATGATGCCAAATTAAGAGAAGTGATGTGTGTTATGTTAGTAAATACAGAAAGAGCTCCCTCTTCTAATTTCTGTGCAGAGTCAGAGAAAACGGGGAGGAGCTCAAAACAGGTATGTGAAATGCTTTCTTCATTTACTCTTAACCTCAGGAAACACAACTAGAGTTTAAGTTCATGTTAATTAGGAAGAGTCTAAGTGAGATGCCAGTGGCTCGTGTGTCTCTCCACATGAAGAACCCCAACTTCTGAAAATGGCATCCTCATGAGGAAACAGGTGTATGTGGAACAGACAGTAAAACCATCAGATAGCACCCACCTGGCCACCTCCAACTGGTCCCCCAAACCACCAGTACTCCCATTACATGTATGTTACACACTTTGTGGTGGACCACAGCTATAAACTTTAAAAATTGCTATTTTCAGTACAAAATATTAATCATGTAGTTGAATATGTTGTTCTGCTTTTTCCCCCACCCTTTTTGAACTTTCCTGTTTCAGTTTTGGACGTTCCTGTTGACACGTCCTCCAGCTAGGGATTCTTTCCTCAGCTGTGTCCAGTCTATCAGTAAGCCCATCAAAGGCATTCTTCATTTTTGTAACAGTATTTTTTATCTTTAGCATTTCTGTTGATTCTTTCTTAGAATATTCATCTATCTGCTTACATCATTCATCTGTTCCTGCATGGTGTCTACTTTTTTAATTATGACCCTTAATCACATTTCTTTTAAATTCGCAATGTGGGCTGGGTGCGGTGGCTCACACCTGTAATCCCAGCACTTTGGGAGGCCGAGGCAGGCAGATCACCTGAGGTTGGGATTTTGAGACCAACTTGACCAACATGGAAAAATGCATCTCTACTAAAAATACAAAATTAGCCAGGCAGGGTGGCAGGAGCCTGTAATCCCAGCTACTCAGGGGGCTGAGGCAGGAGAATCGCTTGAACCTGGGAGGGAGAGGTTGTAGTGAGTGAGATCTTGCCACTGCACTCCAGCCTGGGCAACAAGAGCAAGAACTCCATCTCAAAAAAAAGAAAATTCCCAGTCTGATAATTTCAACACATCGATATCTATGTTTTGTACTGATCCTTGCTCTGTCTTAATATATATATGAAGTTTTTTTTTTTTTTTGGTCATAGTCTGTCTTGTATGATTTGTTGAAGTCAGACATGATGTACTGGGTAAAGGGACTTGAGGGAGCAGGCGTTCAGTGATGTGGTGGTGAGTGTGGAGAGGGAAGGGTTCTGTGGTCCTGGATGAGGTCTGTGCCCTGGGCTGTGAACGTCACGAGTGCCCCTGGGCTGTGAACATCACAAGTGCCCCTTGTGACATTCACAGCCCAGGACACAACAACCTGAAGGCTCTCAGTTTTTCCTCATTTTAGGTGAGACATAATGGCTAGAAGAATTTGCAGTTGGATATTTTCTCTCCTACAGGCCATTTAGGCTCTGACAAGACCCTGGCTGATTAGGCTGTGGTAAAATAGTTTACCTTAAAGACAGGTCTTATTAAGAAGAATAGAATTCACTGGCATATCTTCAAGTTGTTCCTTTACCCTCCCCCCACAGAAAGGATGAGGAGATTTCTACTGAATATTCACTGCAAAAACCTGGTAGAGCCCCAGAAGCTAAGAGTCACAAAAAGTGCCTGTGTTGTCAAGCGTGGTCCATCCCCTCGAGTGTTTCCCTCTGGGTCTTGTCTGCACTGATTCTTTGGCAACTCACCAGTTACAGTTCAGGTTCTCTGTCCCCAGCACTGGTTCCCACGGGGGTTTCTGTGCCTGGGTTTCTGCTCAGATGAGGTTGCTGATCTGTCTTTGCCTGTCACTCTCTCCAATATGTGGGTCAGTTGGCACTGAGACCTCACATCTCTGAGGGATTTTGAAGAGTTGTTGATTTTTGAGTTTGTTCAGCTTTTTACTTGCTGTTAGATCTGAATGACAAATCTCCAGCTTGTTATATGCCTGACAGGAAACCAGAAGCCTCTAGGAAGTGACTGGAGGATGTGAGTTCCACAGCAGGTTGAGGACGGAATCACAAGTGACGTGGGTGAAATAAGCCCATGGGGTTTGGGGACTGCAGGCTTGTCCAGCCTGTGACACCCTGGTGAGTCAGTGCAAAGATTACAACAGTGAGAGCAAACTCGATGGCCGACTCCATCTGGTGTCTAGCCTCAGGCTGGCTGTCCTCACTCATTCCTGGGCATAGGCCAGGCTAACCATGGGCGGAATTTAGTTTATGGTTTAACTTTGAAGCAAGAGTGATAATAGTTCCTCCGTGAAACTAATTCCCTTATTGCCCAGGGACTGCCTTTGTAAAACTAATGAAAGAGCATGAGATTAAGATTATAGGAACAGCCTGAATTCTGCTAAAATGTAGGCACAGTCTATAATCCCTTACTGTTCCAATGTCATTAGGCCGGAGTTCACAAAATGTGTGACGAATTGCTCCTGTAGATAACATCACTATTGTAGAACCTGAGATTGGTCTTTGGAGGTTTTTCTCAGATTTTGCATTCTGGCAACCAGCTGACATCATCCATACCCATGACTAATGGCTCATCCATTCATGTGGTACCCACCTAGAGGCGAATTCCACAAAGACAGATCATTTCCCCCCACCAGCATGATTCCATTCTCAATCAATTAGCAGTACTTATTTTTTAGTCCTGTGTCCCTGAAACTCCTTGAAAATCTTTCTTTTTTTTTTTTTGAGACAGAGTCTTGCTCTGTCACCCAGGCTGGAGTGCAGTGGCGCAATCTAGGCTCACTTCAACCTCTGCCTCCTGGATTCAGGTGATCCTCCTGCCTCATCCTCCTGAGTATCTGGGACTAAAGGCATGTTCCACCATGCCTGGCTAATTTTTTTGTAGAGACAGGGTTTCACCGAGTTAGCCAGGATGGTCTCGATCTCCTGACCTTGTGATTCACCCGCCTCAGCCTCCCAAAGTGCTGGAATTACAGGCATGAGCCATTGCGCCCAACCAACTCCTTGAAACTCTAACTCTTGATCCCCTGGGGAGGCTGACTTGAGAAGTAATAAACCTCTGTCCTCCTGTTCGGCAGATTTGGAGTCATTAAAATCTTCCTTTATGCAAATCACTATCTCTATAAATTGGTATTGTTTGTGCAGGAGGCCAGAAGAACTTGTCTGGCAGTTACAGGAGTGGATGGAGGTACTGCCCATCCCTGTCCCATGGTCTTTGCCACAGGTCGGCCTCACACAGGGAAAGAGCCCTGGATGGGGACACAGTGAAAGCTCATTCTCTTAGTGACCTGGGGACATTGGCTTGAGATATCCTGGCAGGAGCGGCAACTCCAGCTGATTTCTGTGCTTTTCCTAATTCCTGGGAAGTGGGCCAGGGTACACCGGGTGGGAAGGGAACAGAATCGTCAGCCTAGTTAGAGGGAAAGTCTGGAGAAGTCCTAAGGTGGAGGAAACTGTGCAGGACACGCCTTGCCAGTTAGAATGAAGCAGGGGTAAGATGAGGGACACGGAGGAGCAGAGAGAGCCAGAGACACCCACGGCAGTGAGCAGAGGGGGCTACAGTGACCTCAGAGACCTGAGGGACCAGGTACCCCCAGTGCCCCAGGACCAGAGAGCCCTGAAAACCTTCCAGTAGCCAAAGAGCTTCAAAGTCACATGAGGTGGGGTAGCTTTAGGGGCAAGAGGTAGAGGGGGGATGAAACATGGGCATCAGCCTCTGAAGGACAAGGGACAGGTGTGGCTAGAACGTCTTAGGATTTTGCATCCAGGATCCAGTCTCTAAACGGGTTACGGATCATTCATTCCTTCATTCAATTCCTTCATTTTTGATGTGATAACTCCTGAGTATGTGTCTCTCGCTGGGCCTGTGCTGGTGCAGGGTGCGAGTGGGGAAAGAAAATAAAGGCCTCTCCTGTATCCTCTCACGAGAGTGACGTCACTGCTTTGGAAAACACAGGATTTTAGATTCAGTGATGGAGGTTAAGATCTAAGGGGGAGGCCTGGACCGTTTTTGCCCTGACTCTGACAGTTGAGGCAAGCGATTTAGTTCTCGAGTACAAACTAAGCAGCTGTCCATTTGCTCTCACTTCTCTGAGGATTGGATGCCTACGAAGAAGGGATTTGAGCCAGTAAATGACTGTGGGGTCCTGAGACCCCAGTAAGCCCTCACTTCCGGTGGAGAGGATGGGCCTGTGGCTGCAGACAGATGTCACGGGACTCTGACCTGCCCTTGGTGTTTGTGTGACTCTGGTTCCGTGGCTGTGCCTTCCTGAGCCTCAGTTTTGTCTCCATCAAAGCCTGTGGCTTTTCATGCTCTGTAAATCCACTTTAAATTACTCACCTGACCTAACGCTTGGCACAGCATTTATAAATAATATTCAATTTATAAATAAATAATAAACAGCGTTTATTATGACTTGCCTCCATGAGAGAGTACCTTTAGGTCAGATCCCTGGGACAAGCTGCTGCCAGTATCTCTTCTGTCTTCTGTTTCTGCTTCTGGGGACACTGGACTTTCTATGGAGCGTCCCAAACCTCCCAAGGTAGTTGGCCGATGGCCCACAAAGCTTGTCTTTCTGTCCTCACTACTCTGAGTATCAGGTGAAGAAGGTTCTGTCCTTGCCCAGATGAGGCTCTGAGGGCTGAGCCCTGGCTGGTGAGCAGCTCCAGGAGCCACCATCCTCAGACAGCTGGTAAATCCTTGCTCGCAGTAAGCCCTGCCCAGGAAGCCATGACCCAGCCCTCACACAGGCTTCTCAGCTTTATCTGGAGTAAGGCTTTTGAGATAGGGGCCTGGGGTTGGGGCTTCTAGGGCTGAGCTTCTCTGAGAGTATCCCAGGGGACCCCTCAGGCCAAGCCCTACTCCATTCTCCAGGGTCTTCCTCAGGGTCAGGTTTATGGAGAGGGCATGGGGTGCTTGGCTGAGACTGATCTCCCGCTGAGTCCCCGCTGTCAGACTGTCCTTCCTCTGCAGTGAATGTCTGCAGGATCTGGATGCGGGAAAGGAATTCTGATCTGTCGAAGTTTGTCTCCCCTGTGTGTGTCCTGTGCTAAATGCCCAAACCCCAAATTGGGACATAATGCAGAGAGGGACACAGACAGTCCAGGTCTGACAATTCTATGTGTGCAAAGTAGAAGTGACTACCCCGCAACCCGACACCACCCAGGGATTCTGTGGAATCACTCACGGTGTAAGGTGAAATGTCCAGTTTCTCCATTATTCCTATCACCTTGTGTGATGACTTGTAGGGTGTAGGGTCCTGCGTCATTCTGGGTGACCTTCTCGATCAGCAGGGATGCATTGGGATATATTGTTTCTCGTCCAGTGTGTGCAGGCCCAAATATAGTTATGTGACGGTCTATTAAAAATGCTGTCATGTAGTGGTTGATGTCCATGATTTTCCCTCTGTACCAGCTGTAGCCAATAAGATTCTGGGGCAAATTGTGGACAAGCAGAAGAACATCCTTCCCCTCTGAAACAACGTGTGGCTGGGCTTCAATCATGACTTGGGCAGTGGTGGGTGGGTTCCAGAAGTTTAAAAGTGATGCTAGGAGGTAGAGAGAGCATCTGTCAATATGGAGACTTATATATTGGGGTGAAAAGATGGGGCTCTGGGTCCTGAGAAGGTCTCTTTAATCCTCAGCCTTGAAGAGACACACAACTATACCTTTTGTGTGTGCGTGCGCGTGTGTGTGTGTGTGTCCTGCTGTCCTACTGGGTCAAGGTCAGCAACATGACCCCCATTCCTTCAACACTTCTGACCTTGGCCTTTTTGCTGTTCGGAATCCTCTTCCCTAACGGCTGCCTGGCTCCCTCCCCACCGCCCTCAGATCGTGCTCACATCAGGGCACCCTTAGAAGCCTTCTTTCTGACACCTCCTCCCGAGACCCTGGGTCTTCCCTTTCTGACCTTTCCCTGCTCTGTTCCCTCCAGGGCTCTTGTCAACACCTGACCTCACACTCTAGATCTCTTTGCGTGTTTGTCTTCCTCCCCATGAGCGTGAGCTCCATGAGGACAGACGCTTGTGGTCTTGGCTGCACGCTAACACCCGGGAAAGACTGCAGACAACTGTGGATGTGAGAATTCCCAGAGCCCTCCACATCCTGGTGGTGTTTTTTTCCTTTTCCAACTATGGAGGTTTTTGGCTGAGGACACTGTTTCATGCCCTGCTTATGTTTTTATTTTAAATGTCATCTGATATAGTTCTTATTTTATGAAATGTAGTGGCCAGTGATAATTAACCAGGAAAAGAGAACACTTGAGATTTTCCTGCCTCTTCCCAATTCCATTTCACTGAGATTTTCCTGTTTTAACCTCTGTCCCTTTCTGGTGTATTTTCCCCCTATCTAGACTCCAACAGAGCCTTCTTTCTTTTGTAGAGCCCCGTCCTCCCCAGGAGACCCCAGCCAGTAACTGCACTTCCTCCTCCTGTCCTCTCCCAGGAAGTTCTCTCCTCACCTGTGAGCAGGAACCCCTGCCAGGTGATGGGCTGTGTGCAGGGAGGTGCTGAAGGGAACACCATGGTCTCTGCTGCCTGCGTGTCCTCCTCAGATCACGGCTGCCAGCTCTGCTCTCCTTCCTCCTTCTGCACTGAGCCTCTTCCCAGGGCAGGAGCACTTCTTAGTCTCATGGGCGGGGTCTGTACCCAGGACACCTCTCATCCCCTCCCCTCGGTCCTGCCTCTGTTTTCCCTCCTTCTCTTTTTCCTTTTCTCTGTGTTTCCGGCCCCTGGGAACTGCTCTGCCTCCTTCAGCAGTGATTCTCTCACCCACCTCTACACACACTATGTGCAGAAACACACACACACACACACACAGACACACACACACACACACACAGACACACACAGTCACACACATACCCTAAAAGTTGGGCAAGCACAGTCCTGAGCCTCAGCCTCCTGCTGTCCCCATGGCTCAAGGTTGGGATGCACATTCACACCCTTTGCCCTCTCTCATCCCCACCTGGGTCTTCCCTTCAGTGCAGGGGCCTGGGGCTGCACCAGGTCCCTGTCACAGCGACACCCGACTGTGCTGTGGGTCAGCTGAGTGTTGGCTGGTGAGAGGGACCCTTCCTTTCTCTGATTGCATCTAACTTGGCTGCAGCCTCCAAGGATGGACATTGAGGACCTGGGTGTCCCAGAGGAAACTGTCCTTCCTGGAGGTGCGCAGGGTAAATCTCTCATGCCCCTTGGGAGGAGAGGCCTGTGCTGGTTGCTCATAGTCCCATGGTCACAGGGACAGTTCTCAGTCATTCTCTTGCCCCCTGGGGTCTGGCAGCTGAGCTGGGGCTCAGGGTTTTTCGTGTTTTTCCTGACCATCTTGGGTGTCCTCTCTTCTCTGCCCGGCTGATTGTGCTGTGGTCCCCGCACCTTTCCCGTGGTGGTGCAGCAGGATGTTGGGGTTGACTCAGGGTGGCTGGCAAAATATTAGGGAAATATTAGGGAAAGTTAGAAGGATAGAGTCTCAAACCTTTTGGAGGGCCTAAAGGTTTCGATGGAACAGCCTGAAGGCAGCCAGTTCATGACGTTGGAATTTTATCATGGGGTAAAAGATAGAGCAATCAAATTTCCCCAGCTGTCTGTTTACCCCACATCCCTTTGTCTCTACTCTGATTTGTTTGATCATGTAACCTGTCTGCAGGATGAGCCTCTCAGGGGAGGTCAAAGGGGAATTACCCATTAATAGTGTTTACTCTGAGCCCAGAACCTAAAGGTTTTATCATTTGTAAAACCACTCTTTTAACCATGTTAATTATCCACAAGCATGTTGACTTAGAACCTCTGTTCTAAAATGTATCCTGAATACATTTTACATGTGAGGATGGAGAGGGAGTCTTGGTCAGTTGGCTGCAGCTGCCGTCTGAAAGCAGCCTATGACCAGCCCTAGCCCACTGGAATCACTGTAATGGGTGTGAGAGTGCATTTATTCATCCGTTGCTGAGTCAAGGTCTGCAGGACAGACCTCTGCAGGTGGTGGTGACCCTGACATGATCGAGGTCTCAGCAGGAAGCGGGGAGTTACCCAGGAATCCCGTAGGACATGGATCGTTAACACTCAGGAGGGGAAGCCTGGGACAGAGCAGGGGCTCAGAACTGGAGAGATTCATCCCGACTTACTGCGTGGCCATGATGGGCTCAGCCCTCCATGTGCTGACATACTCAGGGGTCTGTTCTGAGGGTTATGACCTGGCCAAGCTGCTCTCTCTAGGGGAAGAAAAGGCAGTGGCCAGAAGGTCTGTCTGGAGGGACGTTGCTCACACCTGAGAGGGTGAGTGGGGATGGGTTGTTTCTAGGAGCAAAGAGAACTAATACCCTTTGTTTTCCCCCTATGAACACAGGAGAGGTCGGTTTTCCCTCCTGACTTCACGAGGGACAGCCGGGGGTAGGCGGCCACATCCCAGATGGTGCCTGTGCGTGATCATCACACGCACTCTGTGCCTCCTGGGGTGCAGCAGGCAGGTCACAGGGTGTCTGACTGATTTCCAGGGACTCTGTGGGACCCCAGGCAGCCACTGTTCTGTGTCAGTTCTAGGCTTGGCTTGGGATGCCCCAGAGAACAGGACAGATGGAGTGTGGGTGGGCACTTAGAGAGCAGTGACAGAAAGTGTTGATGAGGATGGAAGGAGTTCATGAAGGGAAAGTGCCCAGTGTGGCTTCATGTGCACAAGCACGGCCCTGGGAGATGTCCTATTGGCTCAGATCCAAGGAAGGAAAGAATATGGGGGAAGGAACTGTTTGTAGAGGGAGTGGCCATCAGTAGGGAGGAGCTGACAGAGTCCCTGTGGGGATCTCAGAGAGCGAAGAGGATGTGGGAGGATGTGAGCCAAGGTGACCCTGGGGGACCATGCGGGTGGACCATGCTGGGCTCTGGGCCCTGAGAGGTCAGCAACCCCCAGGGAGGCTCCAGGCCAGGAGGGACTCTTCTGCCCTCTGGTGGACAGGGAGGGAAGTGTGGACAGCAGCATTCCCAGGCCAGCCTGTGTGTTTTATTCCACGTGGATCTGCACGTTCCACATGAGGTCACACATATGTCATGTGACAGCTCCATCACCTTCCAGCCCCGTGAGTCTCAGTCTCCGTAGCTGTAAGTTTACTGTTCTTCCTCTTTCACAATCAACCAAGTGTCCCAAACGCAGATTTTTGTCACCTCCTGTGAGTTTGTGTTTATGTGCAGTAGGCAGCACTGTGGATACCCTGGGGGCAGTGACATCTGGGTCTGGGACTGCACATGGGTTTAGGAGCAGAAGAGGGAGCATCAGGGCAGGAAGATCAATGTCAGGGGAGCAGGGACAAGTCATTTTCATTTCTCATTCCCAGAGGCCAGAACCCAGGATCCTACTCCAGGGCACAGCACCGCACCCTGCTGGTGTCCGTGGGTATCTTGAGTGCTCATAATGTTGTATTGCCTTAGCATTTAGTTTTTAAGGTGTAGTTTTACTTGCCTCACATCAGAGGCAGGGCTTGGTCACCATGGCTGTTTCTAATACTGTACCTGGGTCAAGTGGCTCCAGTTGGTGGCCAGAGAGAAAATCTTAGAGGCATCTCTCATGCTTGCTTTGCTGGGCTCCCCTCTCTCCAGCTGCTTTCTTTACACTGACAGTTCTGACATTTGCCCTCAAATTTAAAGTGACCACCTCAGTGCACACATGTAATCCCAGCTACCCTGGGCGCTGAGGCAGGAGAATTGCTTGAACCTGGGAAGTGGAAGTTGTGGTGAGTTGGAGATTGTGCCATTGCACTCCAGCCTGGGCAACAAGAGCAAAACTCCATCTCAAAAAATCATAATAGCAAGAATTAAAAAATAAATAAATGAAGTGAGCACTTCTCAGTCACAGTGTGATCTCCTGGTCCTAGTGTTTACACATCCATTAATGCTCCCTGCTGGAAACCTGTCAGATAACACCCTGGACTTAATAAAGCCATTGGCTACAGGTCCCTTCTCTCCTCCCTGCCTGGGCTCACTGACCTCTGTGTCTGTGGTCTCCAGGTGTGCTGAGTGCTCCCCAGTGTCTGTAAGTAGTAAAAACACTTAGACTTTCACATTGTGGTTGTATCACCATGTTGGGGATTCAGTCAGGGTAGTGGCAAAATATTCAGGGAGATATATTAGGGAAAATCACAGAATAGTCTCAAACCCTTTTGAAAGGCCAAAGGGTTTTTTTTCTGTAGTTCTTGGCTAAATGTAGCCTTCTCCCCTTACATAAATTAGAGTAGAAAAAGAGGAATGTGAGGAGTTTACCTGACTAGCTTGTTTACTCATGTGGTCCTACACAGTTAACCTTTGATCATTCCAGATGGCCCTCTCGGTGGGGGAGGTCAATCATGGATATTACCCACTAATGGTGTTTGCTTTGGGTATTGGAACTTATCTTTAATCTTTAACCTCTAGTGGTGTTGACTCAGTTTTTGTCATTTAATATGTGCTCAATGAAGACTGGTGAGGCCAGTGTGTCAGCGCCGCTATCTCTTTATAGCACTCTCCTCTGTGTGGCCACGGACACTCAGTCAAACTGGCAAAGCATAATATCTGTGTGTCAGTGTACTTTACTCACCTATCATTGTGTCAGGGTCTGCAGGACAGACCCCTGCAGGTGGTGACCCCAACAGTGGTACCCATGTCACCGTCGCTGCAAAGATAGCATGCTGGAACCCATGAAATGAAGATTAAGAGGACTGCACCGTCAAGTCAGTAAACAGTGAGTAAGTCATTGGTACCTGCTGGGGATTACCAAGATCAGGGGTGGGGGATTGTTCAGGCTGAGGTTTCATCATGGGACAACACTTACCAGCTCAACAGAAACAGTATATAGAAGTATTGAAACAACTGCTCAAGGCTAGGGGAACCTCGGTTTCGCAGGCTCAATTAAGGGGCCTAACGCAAGCTGTTGTTCCCACAGCCCATGGTTCCTGGCAGAAAATATGCTAGACGTAAAGCTCTGGGAACAGGTGGGGAGAAATCTTAGCATCATGCACAGGGTGAACGGTCCCAGTAACATTATCACTGGGCCAAAATAACAAAGAGGAAATGGGGGTTCTGTCTGAGACCCCTACTCCAATAGATAAGCAAGCAGCATTAGAAAGGGCACAGTGGCTCATGCCTGTAATCCCAGCACTTTGGGAGGCTAAGGTGGGCAGATCACCACAGGTCGGGAGTTTGAGACCAGCCTGACCAACATGCAGAAACCCCATCTCTACTAAAAATACAAATAGCCGGGCGTGGTGGCACATGCTTGTAATCCCAGCTACTCAGGAGGCTGAGTCAGTAGAATTGGTTGAATCCGGGAGGTGGAGGTTGCATTGAGCCAAAATCATGCCGTTGCACTCTGGCCTGGGCAACAAGAGTGAAACGCAAACATGAAACAAAACAAAACAAAAAAAGGGAGTTCTTAGCCTGCCCCTTAATACAGGATTGACAAATCGATCAGGTACCTAAAAGGATATGCAAAAGTATTAAAGAGATAACAGAGAGAAGATTGCCCTGTCTGGCATCTTTGATTCCTCCACAGGCATCTTTCAGAGTTGCATCTCCCACCTCTCAGCCCACCCAAGTCCTTGAAAGCCAATGGCTGGAATGTGTGTCACAAGACAGATGTACGATGATCCAAGGGCTCCAGGACAGTGAGGCCACCTGCTCTGTCTTAGGGAAGCACAGGCTTTCTCACGTGTGGATTGAGCAGCAGTGTTGGGTCATGAACAGACATGTGAGTGGGAGTCACAGCCCCTGGTACCCCTCCCAGTCCTTCCCTACTCAGCTGACTGGCTGGCCCACCTTGGGTTCCTTACCTGGAATGTGCGACTGCTGGGTCCCTTCCAAATTCCATCCTACTTTGCCCCCTTAGATGTGTTTTCTCTACAGCTTCCCTTTCCAAGTACATTCTAGAGATAATAATGGGAGTTCCCACTGTTCTGAAACCCTGAAGGATGTCCTAGGACTGGATGTTTGAGCAGAAATAACCCAGTGGAGACCAGAGTCAAGCTTGGAGGTCAGTTCAGCCATCAGGCAGTGGAGGCACAAGGGGGGGCAGTTTTCCCCAGATGTTTCATAGTGACTGACTTGAGCCAGTGACCTCTAAAGATAGAGCAGAGTCCAAGGAATGACCTAGAAAGAGTGAAGGGGACAGGTGAGAGCTGGTGGCTTCGGAGCAGAACCATGTTTCCTGTCCTGGGTTGTTGAAGTTTCCTCTCCTTCTACAGAGGGCAGGTGAGGACCATGGAAATCCTTCTAGCAGTACACGTGGACATTTGCAAATGCAGGGTTGACTGGTGGAAATGGGGAGCATGACCTGCTGGAAATCTGGTCCTCATGGACCATGTGTGTTTCATGGATATGAGACAGAAATTTGGGAAGAAGTTTTGCAAATATTTTCTTCCACTGGACATTCTACTCGGATTCCATGGGTTTGACTACTCTGGGGACCTCATGTAAGTGGATTTCAGAGTGAATCAGAGGAGAGACTGCTGGTTGCCAGAAGCTGGTAGTGGGGAGAATAAGGAGTTGTTCATGGGGGTACAGTTTCAGTTATGGGAGATGGGGAGGTTCTAGAGATCTTCTGTACAGCTTGATGCCTATAGTTCACACAGATTGAGTATTTGTTATGCATAAGACTTAGGATAAAAGGGGTTTTGTATTTCTGACATTTTTTGATTCTGAAATATTTGCCATACACTTACTGGTTTAGCATCCCATATCTGAAAGATTCAAGATCCAAAGTGCCCCAGTGAGCATTTCTTTTTAGCATCAGATTAGTAAGCAAAAGTGGAAGGTGATGCGCCAAATATATACTTCCCCCTCCCCCACCCCCGCTTTTTTTCCACCATGATAAGGTGGAAAGTTCTGATGACACTTACAAGTTTTATTCTTGTAAATCTGTTTTAGTTCTTTATAGTCTTTGGTGAATTCCATGCTGGCCATGCTGCACCCGTATATTTTTTAATGCTTTGAGATGTGAGAAGGGTGATGGTTATTTTCTATGTCATCAGAACTTTCCACCTTATCATGGTTGCTTCTTTTTCTCAGTGTCTTTGTTGTGGCAGTCATTAATAAGAGCCTAATTCTGCAGAAAATGTTACTGGGATTCTGGTAGGGGTTGGGTTGAAGCTGCAGCTCACTTTCGGTAGTACTGTCTTCCTAACAGTATTGAGTCCAAGCTGGGCATGGTGGTGCATGCCTATAGTCCCAGCTACTCGGGAGGCTGAGGCAGGAGAATTGCCTGAACCCAGGAGGCGGAGGTTGCAGTGAGCCGAGATCGCGCCATTGCACTCCAGCCTGGGTAACAAGAGTGAAACTTCGTCTCAAAAAAAAAAAAACAAAAAAACAGTATTGAGTCTTTCAGTCAATAAATGTCTTTCCATTTATTGATGTCATCTTTCTTTCAGCAATATTTTGTAGGTTTCAGGGTAGAATCCTTTGATCTTTTTTGATTAAAGTTATTTCAAAATATTTTATTCTTTTTGATGTTAATATGAATTGAAATTCTTAATTTCCTTTCAGATTGTTCATTGTTCGTGCATAGAAATGCAACTGATGTTTGCATGTTGATTTTGTATCTTGCAACCTTACTGAATTTATTATTGCCAACTTTTTAATTGTACTTTAGGTTCTGGGGTACATGTGCAGATCATGCAGGATTGTTGCATAGGTACATATATGGCAAGGTGGTTTGCTGCCTTCATCCCTCGATCACATGTATCTGGTATTTCTCCCCTCATTATCCCTCCTCTAGCTCCCCACTGCTACCGCAGTGTGTAATGCTCCCCTCCCTGTGTCCATGTGTTCTAATTGTTCAACATCCACCTATGAGTGATAACATGCAGTGTTTGGTTTTCTGTTCTTGTGTCAGTTTTCTGACAATGATGGTTTTCAGATTCATCCTTGTCCCTATGAGGGACACGAACTCATTTTTTATGGCTGCATAGTATTCCATGGTATACATGTACCACATTTTCTTTATCCAATCTATTGATGATGGACATTTGGGTTAGTTTCTCAAGTCTTTGCTATTGTAAACAGTGTCACAATGAACATACATGTGTCTTTATAATAGAACAATTTATAATCCTTTGGGTATATACCCAGTAATGGCATTGCTGGGTCAAATGATATTTCTACTTCTAGATTCTTGAGGAATCACCACTCTGTCTTACACAATGGTTGAACTAATTTATACTCCCACCAATATAAAAGTGTTCCTATTTCTCCACATCTTCTCCAGCATCTGTTGTCTCAAGATTTTTTAATGATTCCCATTCTAACTGGTGTGAGATGGTATCTCAATGTGGTTTTGATTTGCATTTCTCTGATAACCACTGATGATGAGCATTTTTTCATAAGTTTGTTGGCCTCATTTATGTCATCTTTTGAAAAGTGTCTTTTTTGAATGGGTTTGTTTTATTCTTGTAAATGAGTTTTAGTTCTTTGTAGATTCTGGATGTTAGTCCTTTGTCAGATGGGTAGACTGCAAAAATTTTTTCCCATTCTATTGGTTACCAGTTCACTCTAATGACTGCTTCCTTTGCTGTACAGAAGCTCTGGAGTTTAATTACATCCCATTTGTCTATTTTGGCTTTTGTTGCCATTGCTTTTGGTGTTTTAGCCATGAAATCCTTGCCTATGTCTATATCCTGAATGGTTTTGCCTAGGTTTTCTTCTAGGGTTTTTATGGTGCTAGGTATTATGTTTAAGTCTTTAATCCATCAGGTGTTAATTTTAGTGTAACGTGTCAGGAAGGGGTCCAGTTTCTGCTTTCTGCACATGGGTAGCCAGTTTTCCAAACACCATTTATTAAACAGGGAATCCTTTCCCCATTGCTTGTTTTTGTCAGGTGTGTCAAAGATCAGATGGTTGTAGATGTGTGGCATTGCCTCCGAGGCCTCTGTTCTGTTCCATTGGTCTATCTCTCTGTTTTGGTACCAGTACCATGCTGTTTTGATTACTGTAGACTTGTAGTATAGTTTGAAGTCAGGTAGTGTGATGCCTCCAGCTTTGTTCTTTTTGCTTAGAATTGACTTGGCTATGCGGGCTCTCTTTTGGTTCCATAGGTAGTTTAAGGTGGTATTTTCCAATTCTGTGAAGAAGGTCATTGGTAGCTTGATGGGGATAGCATTGAATCTATAAATTACTTTGGGCAGTATGCCCATTTTCACGAATTGATTCTTCCTAACCATAAACATGGAATGTTTCTCCAACTGTTTGTGTCCTCTCTTATTTCGTCAAGCAGTGGTTTGTAGTTGTCCTTGAAGAGGTCCTTTACGTTCTTTGTTTGTTGTATTCCTAGGTATTTTATTCTCTTTGTAGCAATTGTGAATGGCAGTTCATTCTTGATTTGGCTCTCTTTAAGTCTGTTATTGGTGTATAGGAATGCTTGTGATTTTTGGTACATTAATTTTGTATCCTGAGACTGCTGAAGTTGCTTATCAATTTGAGGAGATGATGGGGTCTTCTAAATATACAATCATGTCATCTGCAAATAGACACAGTTTGACTTCCTCCTTTACTAATTTTGAATACCCTTTATTTCTTTTTCTTGCCTGATTGCTCTGGCTAGAACTTCCAATACTATATTCAATAGGAGTGGTAAGAGAGGGCATCCTTGTCTAGCGCCAGATTTCAAAGGGAATGCTTCCAGTTTTTGCCCATTCATATGATATTGGCTGTGGGTTTGTTGTAAATAGCTTTTATTATTTTGAGATACATTCCATCAATACCTAGTTTATTGAGAGTTTTTAGCATAAAGGGCTTCTCTGCATCTATTGAGATAATCATGTGGTTTTTGTCCTTGGTTCTGTTTATGTGGTGAATTATATTTATAGACTTGCATATGTTGAACCAGCCTTGCATCCCCGGGATGAAGCCTACTTGATCATTTTGGATAAGCTTTTTGATGTGCTGTTGCAGTCTGTTTGCCAGTATCTTATTGAAGATTTTTGCATCTATGTTCATCGTGGATATTGGCCTGAATTTTTCTTTTCTTGCTGAGTCTCTGCTGGGTTTTGGTATCAGGATGATGTTGGTTTCACAAAATGATTTGGGGAGGATTCCCTCTTTTTGGATTGTTTGGAATAGTTTCAGAAGGAACAGTACCAGCTCCTCTTTGTATGTCTGGTAGAATTCAGCTGTGAACCAATCTGGACCTGTGCTTGTTTTGGTTGGGATGCGATTAATTGCTGCCTCAACTTCAGCCTTTATTATATTTCTCCTGGCTTCTCTTAAGCTTGGATAAATTCCTAGATGCTTACACCCTCCCAAGCCTAACAAGCCTAAACCAGGAAGAAGTTGAAACCTTGAACAGACCAATAACAAGGGCTGAAGTTGAAGCAGGAATTAAGAGCCTACCACCCAAAAAAAGTCCAGGTCCAGATGGGTACCCAGCCGAATTCTACCAGACATACAAAGGGGAGCTGGTACCATTCCTTCTGAAACTATTCCAAACAATCCATAAAGAGGGAATCCTTC